TGTTGCAGGGAATTGAGCCTTTATTGATTATGCATTTCACACTTCTCTTCTGCAGGCTCAGATCAATGACCTCATGGATCAGTGCAGTGGCTTTGAGTTGTAAGTATGTGTAGTGGTTGCAATAATAATAAAAAAAAAATCTGATTTTTAATGATTAAAATAATGTGTCCTAGACAGATTCAAAAAAAAAAAAACTGCCTAGAAAAATTAAACCGCACAACAATATTCTAATGCAGATGAGAGGAATAATGCACATTATTGCTTTATTTCTGGTTTATTCTTATAGTAACATGGACGACTGTGAGAAGATTGAGATATCAGAGGACAATGTGAACCAAGGCACTGAGAATATCCGTCCAGAGTGCTTTGAACTTCTCCGTGTGTTGGGAAAAGGAGGTTATGGAAAGGTATTTAAAAAAAAAATTTATTTAATTCTAATATTTTCATTTTATTTATTTATTTTTAAGCACTTTTCACACTATACTGTGCCCCCAAAGTGCTTAACATTGTACTGAACACAATTATTGTTATATACACAACATTACAGTGCATTACATAAACAGCAAAAACAAACCGGTGTTAAAATGTTAATAGACTAAAGAGCACAAATATGACTTTTAACAGCATTGGAGAAGTTCTAATATCAATGGGTATAATAATAATATACAATATCAGTATTGTAATATCAAATATATGGAGCAGTGGGGTTACTATCGTAAACTAAAACTATTAAAATTGTTTGTGGATTGAAATACACTATAAATAAAATATGATATATAAATATAAAAACTCAGAAATACATCAAGTAGAAGCATTGAATTACTAACTATAAAACTATTTTGATCAATGTTACTATTTAGGTTTAAATTATTTTTATTTCAGTTTTAGTTCACTAAAACCAAAATAAAATGATTGAAACCTTAATAGTAATATTTAAAAATAATAAAAACTACATATTACTAAAAATAACATTGTGGCGTATTCCATTTGAACCTGTCTGGGCTTGAATTTAACTTTTTCTTTTTCCTTTTCCTTTTCTTTTTTTTTTTGTAGGTTTTCCAGGTTCGGAAAGTATCTGGTGCAGGATCAGGAAAAATATTTGCAATGAAAGTTTTAAAAAAGGTTAAGCAAATTCCTTAAAGTTGAATGCATTCATTTACATTTGTGGCAATGTCTCAATGTCACTCTATTCTGCTGCTTGTAGGCTATGATTGTACGCAACGCCAAGGACACAGCGCATACTAAAGCAGAGAGGAACATCTTAGAGGAAGTCAAGCATCCTTTCATCGTTGATCTAATCTATGCCTTTCAGACGGGCGGCAAGCTTTACCTCATCCTTGAATACCTAAGTGGTTTGTGAATCAAGAACAACCTTTGTCTCAGAGATGGATAACTACTCATTCTTTCTGCTGTCCTCCTGTTGCTAAGGAATACATTCTGCCCTTGGAGGCATTCCTTCTGGGTTATTTTATTTTTTGCATAGAGGGAATTTATTTAAACATTTTATGAAATGCATAATAAACTAAATTGTGCAATGCATAAAAAAAACATTTTTTTACTAGGTTTACATTTCGTGGCTGAAATGGTAAATTTGCAGTGTGTGATGTTTGAGAGATGATGTGGTGTGAAGCTTTACTATCAGTCCGTCTGTATTTTCTCTTAAAACTGTGGTGTTTGTGGTAAAAACCTTTTTTCTTTTGCAGGTGGGGAGCTTTTCATGCAGCTTGAGCGAGAGGGGATTTTCATGGAGGACACGGCCTGGTAAGAAAGGGTGATTTGATCAGTTTTGTGACTTTTAAAGCATGAACTTGCTACGTTAAAACTGAATTTTGATTAGCTCTTTAAACGTAGTGTTTTATTGAAGTGTCAACTTTTTAAACAATTTTCAAGGACGCATGAACACCGACACATGCATAAAAATAAGCCTTACATTCAACATGAGATGAACAAAGATAATCAGAATGATGCTCAGGGCTTTTCACACGCAGCTTTTACTTGGCTGAAATCTCTATGGCTCTCGGACACCTGCATCAGAAAGGCATCATCTACAGAGATCTCAAACCTGAGAACATCATGCTCAATAACCAAGGTTTGGCCGCTGCTTTTTGTAGTTTAGAAAGGAGTAAATCTGAAAATGAACGGAGAAATCTTTAATTCTAATAATCAGTTTTTTTAATCTTATCACAGGACATGTAAAACTGACTGATTTTGGGCTGTGTAAGGAGTCGATTCATGACGGCACAGTGACACATACTTTCTGTGGCACTATTGAATACATGTGAGACGTTTAAAGAAACCTTTACATTCTTGTGATGTCCAAGTAGCTAATTTCCTGTTTTGCAAATGTCTCTTTTCATTGCCTGCCGTGCCCGTGTGACATGCATTTAGATGAATTCTACAGTAGTGTGAGAGGTTTAATTAAATAGCCAAAATGTGCTTTTTACTGTTTTGTCTTGCTTTTCAAAGAAAAAAATATTTACAAAACAACAATTTAAAAATATTTACTTAACAGAGAAAATTTTTTAACATTCTAGCAGACATTATACCAATGATGTATGACATGTTAACTGGAGCAGTGAGTATAAACTTCTTGGGAATTTGTCATAGTGTAGCGCACTATAGCCTGCAATACTTCAGTTTGGGTTTTGTATTTACATTCTGGAATTGATGTATTTGTGTTTCAGAATTAATGTCAACAACCAGTTACTGAACTTGTTATATTCATATTCCCTAAATGTAATAGAATTTAATTCTGATTTCTAAAGACTGGTCAAGACATAAATAGTTTTTTTGTTTTTAAGTTTGTCCGAATTTTTTTTTTCTAAATACATTTCTACAGTTAATTTTCATTCACTGTCAACAATAATTTTTTTTTAAATAAAATTATTTTAGTGTAATGACAATGTATAAGCCAGTTTAATTTTTAAATTAATAATTGTCACAAAACTATTAGGGATGCACCGAAATGGAAATTCTTGGCCGAAGTCGAACAAAATGAAACACTGGACCGAATACCGAACACGGTTTTTCACTTTTTTTTTTTCCCCATTTTGCCAATTTTTTCACCATTGCATAAATTAAATAGCCAAAATGTGCTTTTTACTGTTTTGTCTTGCTTTTCAAAGAAAAAAATATTTACAAAACAACAATTTAAAAATATTTACTTAACAGAGAAAATTTTTTAACATTCTAGCAGACATTATACCAATAAAGCACAACTTAACTTAAAATTAATAAGTTAGTAAAATAATATTTTTTTGGGCCATTTTTTTAGACCCCCTTCTTGAATCAGTCATGTATTTTTTACCGTACAAATAAATGCAGCCTTGCTGAGCAGAAGAGACTTCTTTTAAAACATTAGAAAATATTATAGATCCTAGTCTGAACACTGTGTAAATGTTACAATAAATGTATTAATTATTTTCTTTTTTTCTTTTATTTTACAGAACAACAGTAAAATTACAGTAATAACATTTATTAATGTTGATGGAAGTTCTTGCTTTTTCCGCAGGAAGACCTCAGTGTTTCTTTTTGTTGACAAATGATTCACATTTCTTTTAAAACATTAGAAAATATTATAGATCCCAGTCTGAACACTGTGTAAATGTTACAATAAATGTATTAATTATTTTCTTTTTTTCTTTTATTTTACAGAACAACAGTAAAATTACAGTAATAACATTTATTAATGTTGATGGAAGTTCTTGCTTTTTCCGCAGGAAGACCTCAGTGTTTCTTTTTGTTGACAAATGATTCACATTCTCCCACTTAATAAATTTATCAGGAAAAATTTGAATTCTTTTACTAGAGCCGCTACTAGAGGGGACTGTATAATACCACATGGAAGAAGTACTTTTGGGAAATCAGTATTTTCTTATCGAAATTCTTGGCCGAAGTCGAACAAAATGAAACACTGGACCGAATACCGAACACGGTTTTTCACGTTTTTTTTTTTCCCCATTTTGCCAATTTTTTCACCATTGCATAAATTAAATAGCCAAAATGTGCTTTTTACTGTTTTGTCTTGCTTTTCAAAGAAAAAAATATTTACAAAACAACAATTTAAAAATATTTACTTAACATAGAAATTTTTTTAACATTCTAGCAGACATTATACCAATAAAGCACGACTTAACTTAAAATTAATAAGTTAGTAAAATAATATTTTTTGGGCCATCAGACCCCCTTCTTGAATCAGGCATGTATTTTTAACTGTATAAAAAAACAGCCTTGCTGAGCAGAAGAACCCTCTTTTAAAACATTAGAAAATATTACAGATCCCAATTTGAAATTCCACTTGCGCCTGTGTTTTTTGCAGCTTCTCGTACATAACGTGGTGTAGTCATGAGGTGCTAGTTCAAATTTAAAAGGTTTCATCTGCAGATATGGTCTTGTTTACGGATCTGTGTCTTTGTGCATACGGACATCTGACTGCTGAGTAGTGATTGTGTTTTTCAGCAATAGTGTGCACCCTTAATTTACAGAGAAAAGAAGGTCAGGGAAAAATCTGTAGATGGAAAAATCTCAAATTTTCGCAATTTTCTACCTGTTACTTTGCACTTTTTGTTAGAAAATGTTCATTTACTATTTATTCAGGTTTTTTAAGGTATATAATATTTTGATACTTAATTTCCATGATCAAAATATTCTTAAAAATTAAAAGTTTGTTGTCATTTGGAAGTGTGTAGGCCTTCTTGCATTATTATGCTGTTACATTATGATTATATATTCAGTGGCATAAAATGGTCTTTAAAATGACAATAATATCGCTTATCGCAATTATTTCTGGGGCAATATATCGCACAACAAAAAGTTGTTATCGTGATAGGCCTAGCGTGCATTAGAAAACATAACTTTCTGAAGTTTATTTACTTGTTTAAGGGCATTTCGCGATTTCAATCATCATACAGTTACCAGCAACAACCACCCTTCCTCTTCTCATCGAAGACATGCGAAGACAGTCTCTCGCTGTCGGTGCTTGTAATGATTTTTGCGTCCTTCTCTGACAGCTTTAAATGTTTCCACACTGCCATCATGTTTGCTGCATTAGCGCGCGCCTATATTTGATCGTGTCACATCATTGTTCGGTACAATTTATTCTGTCTTTTCACTTATTCGGCCGATAATTTCGGTTGCCGAACATTCGATGCATCCCTAAAAACTATTGCACTTAACAGAATTTTAGCCATAATAAAATACAGTTAACTTTTATATTTGTCAGCAAGGTCTCTCACAATGGTATTACTGTATTTGTGGTTCTTAGCATCAAAAAGTTTGTTAACCCTTGATCTAGTCAATTTAGAAGTTTTTTAAAACATTTTTGTCCATTCTAGCCCCCATTTACAGGAGAGAACCGGAAAAAAACCATTGACAAAATTCTTAAATGCAAACTGAACCTCCCACCCTACCTCACACAAGAAGCCAGGGACCTTCTCAAAAGGGTAGGTGTACACCTATTTGATTTTTCCCAGTAATACACTTATTGTGTGTTGTGTAATTGATGTTTTAATAAGTCTTTTTCTGTCATTTTGTAATAATAATTTTACTGTGTTCAGCTACTGAAAAGAAATGCCTCATCTCGGCTTGGGGCTGGACCTGGAGATGCAACAGAAGTACAGGTCTGTTGTCATCAACATTAATGTTAATGTCAACATCTTAACCCTGTAAAGCCTGACATGAAATAATAGTCAAAAAAATATTTTGATATTTAGAAAAAATATTGCAGTTGCTGTAAACCCAAGTTGCTTCCATCTGGTAAGTGTTCATCTTGAAGTATTGCTAAGAATATATAAGCTATTCTTATATTTACTGTATAAAAATCAGTAAAGATTTCAAAGCATAAAGACATGCATCCCATGACCTGAAAAGAAAGTTATACTTGAATACCTTTTACTTGTTAAAAAAGCATAAATTGTCAATCAGATGGAAGAAGGCATGTAGTAGATTGTGTGCAACAGGTTTTTCAGCCAGTTTTGATCCTATTGATAATTTCCAGGCCTTAAAAACGTGTGTATCAAATGAAAAATAGGCTTTATAGGGTGAAGATTGTCTTTCACTATTGATTTTCTGGTGGTTTTATTGTTTAACCAGAATTCAGAAAGAAGTGCTGGGCTTTAGTTTTAATTAGCTTGAATTTGTCTTCTAGACTCATCCCTTCTTCCGACATGTTAATTGGGACGACCTTCTCGCACGTAAAGTAGAACCACCATTCAAGCCTTTCTTGGTAACTATAGTCACTTTTTGTGGTGTGTTCTTATGGGTTAATTGAGTATATATGAATCGCTTGACCCGATGTCTAAGGATGTGCATTAGAAAATCATGCATTCATACAAAACGCTACCATTCAAACGTTTGGGGTCGGTATAGTTTTTAAATGTTTTTAAAGACATTTCTTAGGCTAATGTAATTTATTCCTGTGATTGTGAAATTTTCAGCGTCATTACTTCAGTCTTCAGTGTCACATGATCGTTCTAATATGCTGATATTCTTATCAACGTTGAGAAAGAACAATGACACAAATACGTTTTTTTCAGGACTTGAATAGAACATTTATTTAATTATTACGTTTATGTAAAGTATGACAAAAAGGTTATATAAAAATGTTTTGTAGATCAGTGGTTAACTTTTTTTATTTTTAACTCCAAGGTCCCTCCATTGTCCTCAACAGTATTTGAAGCCCCTTGACCTTTCTAGTTCTTTTTTTCCAAGTTCAGAAATATTTTTACTGACAATTTACTATTGATAAAATACTTCAGTGCTTGGCCTAACTAGAAAAATGTATTTTTAATATGAAGTGCCCATGGAGTTGAATAGTTCGTGACTTTTCAAGGTCTATAAATCACACCTTTAAAATTAGGCTATCTCATATATCCAGATTTTCCAAGACTTGTGGGAATCTTGATTTTTCCAAAGAACAACCATGGCTTGTTTGGCTTATTTTAATGCTTGTTTTGTCTTACTCGAGTCATTTTGAGGCCCTTTGGTTGAGAACCACTGGTGTAGATGTTCCCGATGCTCTCTGCGACACACTTTATGTGTACAACTAGGTTCTGTCTTTTCAAATACAGATGAATAATGTCTGATCTTAATGATATTTAGCTGGTATAAATCATTTGGATATGAACGCAGATGCAGATACGTTTAAACATTTTCCCCTCAGGATGCAGCTCTTGTGTGACACGTCTATGAGTTGTCCATAAGGGAACACTCAAATACTGGTTTATGATGCAATATAATGCTAAAACCTTTTTGTGTCCAGTCAGCAGAGAGGACACACGTCAAAATCGTCTGTTTTATCTGGTGGTAACATTTCTGTCTAATAGCCCTGTGTTTATAAGGATGTATCACTACATCACTTCTGTGCTCTTGCTAGCATATGCAGCTTGTCTGAGCCAATCAGAATTATCAGCACTGTAGATCACTGTCCAGCTGGACTGAGTCCAAATGGCATTGGCTGGATCAATGAGTTCTGGAAGAAAAGTGGCCCAGTTTACCTGAATTCACCCTGGCCATGTCAAGTCTAGTAATATTTATGCTTTTTCAGCAACAGCTGTGTTGTTGCTTTGAATGCTTTCTTCAAGAATCCCGTGGATGGCTGATGGGGAATTCTTGGTTGCATACAAATGTGTATTTAAATCTTGAACGTTGTTTGCACTGTCTATTAGAGGAAGTACAATCTGGGGAGAACATTAATGGTATTTGCATATGACAAACAGTATGGTTGTTTCATCTGTTTTCCAGGGGGTTCCCTAAAATTTACAGCATAACGGAAATAACTGTCTGTCTCTGAGGAAACAGATGTTGAACATCAGTTGTTTTAACAGCACTGGATGATTCATCCATGCTAAGAAGAACAGGCAGCTGGGGCTGCTTTTGCTTTCAAACTAGTGATGTGGTACGGCAGCATGAGGTCTAACGACTTGATGTACAGTAGTTTTTATTTTACAATTTAATTGTTTTTTATTTGACTATATTTTTTATAATTAGTGTAGTTTTCTATTACACTATACTCTTAAAAATAAGGGTTCTTTATTGGCATCAATGGTTCTATGAAGAACCTTGAACATCCATGGAACCTTTCAAATGCAGAAAAGGTTCTTTATATTGGAAAAAGGTTCTTTAGATTTTTTAAATGTTCTTTAAAATGGATCTTTTAGGAACTGTTCACTGAAAGGCTCTTTTGGGAACTAAAAATGGTTCTTCAATGGCATCACTGTATGTAGGAACCTTTATTTTTAAGAGTGTGTGAGAGTTCACATTTTTACGTTTTATGCCACATTTAAGAAATTTAAGTTGTTTTTCTTAAAAGTGAACGAGCTTTGAAATATAGTAGAATCAGCTCACTGACTGTATTGAACTGTATTGGAAGTGGCTCAGTCATTCTGTAGCATTTAATACAAGATATTGTCTGACATTGTCTATAACTTTAAACAGAACATGGCACCTTGTTCTACTCGTGTGGTTTCCTTCATGACATCCCTTTTTCATTTTATATGTTTTTTCCCACTCAAGTGTGGAAAAAGTTTGAAATCATTCATATTTGTAAGTTTATTTTTTATTTTTTTAAAATCTATTAAGCACTTAAATCTACTAAGCACTCCAAGCTAAATATAGTAAAAATAAATAAAAAATAAAAATAAATAATTGTGAAATATTACAATGTAAAATATTACAATGTTCTATAATATATTAAAAATGTGTTTCTGTGATGGCGATGCTGCATTTTCAGAATCATTACTCCAGTCTTTAGTGTCACATGATCCTTAAGAAATCATTCTAATATGCTGATTTGCTGTTCAATTATTATTGGTGCTCAGTTATTAATAATGGTTATTATTATCATTGTTGAAAGTAGATTTTGCTGCTTAGTATTTTTGTTGAAACTATGATACATCTGTCTATACACACACATATATATATAATATATATATATATATATATATATATATACACACACAGACAAAAGTCCATTATGCTCACCAAGGCTGCATTTATTTGATCATACAGTTAAAACAAATGCAGTAAAAACAGCAATTAGAATGACTTCTGAAGGATCATGTGACACTGAAGATACTAAAAATATGTTCAAATAGAAAACATAAATTAAATTGCAATAATATTTCACAATATTACTGGTTTTACTATATTTTTTGCTCACATAAATGCAGCCTTGGTGAGCAAGAGACGTTTTTCAAAACAAAAAAACGTCACCCTCACATCACCCTCATGTCTTTTAGAAAGACGTTTTACTTTCTTCTGTAGAACACGAAAGGAGATATGAGCCAGAACGACCGTCTCCTTTTCACTTTCATTGTGTGGAAAAATACAGTGAAAGTGAACGTTGTCTGAGGCTGTCAGGCGCAAGCCGTCATCTGTGTTGTAGTAGAGCGCTGCAGGGATCAGTGTGACCTTTAGAGGGCGATAGACACTGAATGCACTTCATCATCTGAGGCGGAGACGACGAGGAAGAAGCTGTCAAAACATTGCAAGGCCCTTTGAGTCGGCATTTAAACCTGAATTGGTTATGGTCCAAATTTGCACCTTACATTAATTACATATGCATTTAAGGTAAGTTCATTTTAATTCAATAATATTTTACCGAGACGACGAAACGCCAGCTTGATACCCATCAAAACATACAGCGACGTCATTATATACAGATGAAGTCACGATGCCTAGATTAGTCAAACTAGTCTTTTCTATTAAGCTTGGTCTTTTGTGTGTTTTAATAATATGCATAATATTACAGTATTCAAGTGAATTTTATATCAAATCGACATTTGCACACTGATCATTAGACAGACCTTATAAACAATTGTCATGGTAACCATAGTCTAAAGTAGGTACTCTAGTGTAAAACCAACTAGTAATTCAATATTATATTCTATTTTAACATTTATATAATTGTTTAATTTCTTATTTTGATGTCAGTGGTGGCTACTGTCAAGCTACCACAGTTTTAATGCAGTATAGAAACAATCTTCAAACACTAGTCCATCTATTTGGTTTCTCATGATCCGATTCTTAAAGAGACAGTTCACCCAAAAATGAACAAACAGTTATCCTCACTGATACATATCTCTATTATAGATCAGTGGTCATCCCTCATGTTCTACCAAAACCAAATTACTTGCTTTCTTCGGTGGAAAATGGACGAAGATATCTGAGAAATGTCCATACAATGGAAGTCAATGGGAACCACAATTATTTGGTTGGTCTGTCTCTCCATTTTCCTTCACAGGAGTACATAAACCTCTGCAATGTCTCAGCCTGAGCATCTCAACGTGAGCCCCTGGGGCTTGTCTGAGTTTTTGGTCCAGAGGAGGCTGCTTGGCTTTGGGGCGCTGCTGGCCTGGATGGTCTTGTTCCACCTGCTGGTCAACATTTGGCTCCTGTGTGTCTTCACAAGCCTCTTAGTGGTCTTAGGTGGTTGGCTTGGTTCCCAGGCTGTCCTGGACTCAGACAGCGTTGTTCACCTAGAGCGCTTTGTTAGGCTTGAGGAGATCCCGCACAGTGCCAAGAGCGGGCAACAACTGGAAGATGTGATCCAGAAGACAGTTGGCAAGATCATACGTGACTTTGTCACCTCATGGTACAGCACCATTTCCAAAGAAAAAGAGTTTGAGGATGAGGTGCACAATGCCATGATCTCCATGGCATTGGAGCTGAAGGGTCGAGTGGCAAGAGTTGATAGGAAAGCTTTATCTCAGAGGGTTTTAGACCTATCTGGATGCCACGTTCAGTGTTATTCGAGTGCCAAGGAAGCCAATAAACATCTAGGGGTGGACAAAGATGGAGATCTCTGGGAGGCGTACAGCAAACTCTGCCCTCCTCATCCCGCTCTTCAGAGCTCTGCTGTCGAGGTGAATTACGTACGGGCCATTGTAGATCTGCTTCTCCATGTTCTTGTACCTCCTCCGCATTTAGAAACCCGCACAGGTCGATTTGTGGTGGGCGAACTTATAATGTGCAACGTTCTGCTGCCTTTAATTGCAAAACTGTCCGACCCAGACTGGCTAAACATGTTGATTGTAAGCATCTTCTCTAAATCCAGCGAACCAGCCTCAGAGCCAGAACCAGTAGAAGTTCAAACTCCACCACAAGTTGTATCTCCTCAAGAAAACACACCGCAAGAGCTTGAAATTCCTTGCGTTCTGGCCCTAAAAGTCACCCCAGAGACCCCTACAGCAATGGAGGCCCCAACACCAGAACTTGCTGATGTCATTGACTCCGCTGATCTTTATTCTCCACACAACCTGGAGGAAGACGAACCACGGTTGAGCAAACCGTTTCCGTTGGGTTTTAGCCCCAGGGATTATCTGAGACTCGGTAAGCCCAATCCGTTCTATCAAGAAACTGACTCTGATTTGGAATCTCCTCTAACGGATTTCAAGCAGAGCTCCCTAGAATCGCTGGTTCTGATTGGTTCAGAGGAGACTCTTTCTGAAAGACTTGCCGAATGCACCACTCCAGTTGACGCTGTGTTAGACCTCGAGGATGAACTTCCAACTTACACCAATATGACAGAGAAGGAGATATCAGTACATTCCGCAGGTGTGTCCGAGGAAGAGCCATCAAGCTTTTGCACTCTCCAGCCGTTGGAGAAGAGTAACTCGAGTGCAGACCAGCCAGGCCTGGTGAACCCCAGTGAGCTGGCTTTGACTGCACCCGTCCAGGCTTCTTCAGCAGCTGGGATGGCATCCCTGGCACCTTTCAACTTCGAGCACCTCAGCAGCCCAGAGGGTCCGGTCATTATCCAGAACCTCCGCATCACTGGCACCATCACTGCTAAGGAGCACCGAGGCTCTGGCTCACATTCCTACACTCTCTACAGCGTAAAGGTGAATTGGTTCTCACTTTTCTCTGTTAAATCATGTTAGTTAAGTTATCAAGTTTGTTAAATCGTGGTTGAAGTGTACCAGAATTGGCCGATATTTGATATTTAATAGTTCACACTCGTTTCTGCTAATTTTACATTTAGATTCCCTTTGCCGTCATCTAACGCACAGTTAAAGTTTATCTTTAAAACATGACTAATTTCACTGTTAAATATAATCTCTGGCAAATTTGACACCTTTTTCATATTAATATCAATATATTATTATTAATGCTAATATATTCAGAATATAATGTTATAATGTTTTGCTGCCTAAATTCATGTGAAACATTTAAAGGAGTTGATTTTAGTTTGTAGTATTTATTTTTTATTAATTTACACAATACTGTATAGAATTTTAATATTGTACATGTACACTTATTGTATGTTGGCTATAACATTATTATTATTATTATTATTATTATTATTATTTTAATATATAATAATATATTAATATACATAATTATTATTTTACTTAATATTTGTAAAAGTCGTTTTAATAAAAACTATTGATTTTAGTTTCAATTTCAGTGTTTTATTTTTTTATGAGTTTAGACAAAATATAGAATTTTAATATTTTTTCCGATTTTTCAGTCAGACATAAGTAATTATTATATCTAACAGAATTATAATATCAGTCCATCTCTGGAGTGCCTCGACTGTAATTTTAGTCTCTACACTTTTTAGTCATGTTTCTGTCTAATTTAACAGTTTCTTTAAAGTAAAATGGTAGATAAAAATGTGACATTTTATTTCAGCCCTCACAAGAGTCATATTTAATAAATTCTAGCCCTTTATGAGCACATTGTAGGTAAAAATCATGCTATTCATGAAACTTTCTAGTTCATTCTTGTAGGATATTCTGTAAAGCTTTAGTAATAGTAACCAAAAGGACGAAGTGTTGCAAAAAGTCATTATAACATGATTGCTTGATAAAGATGTGTTTGTCTTGCAGTATGAGACAGCCATGGACTCTGAGAATCCTGAATCTTTGCAGCCCTTGGCCTATCACACCGTCAGCCGACGCTACAGCGAGTTCCTCAACCTTCAGACCCGTTTGGAGGAGAAACCAGAATTACGCAAGATTCTTAAAAGTGAGCAGAGCATATTAGTCCTGTCAGTTTCAAAGCTTTCCAAAACACTGTTTTATTGGTTGTCTTGTTCTGTTAACTGGAGATGTGAAAGGACCAAAGAAAATATTTCCTGAGCTTCCATTTGGAAACATGGACAGTGACAAAGTCGAGGCCAGGAAAGGTCTTTTGGAAACATTCCTTAGAGTACGTTCTTTGAATATATAAATTACATAAACCGGACTATATTTTCTGTTGGTATTCCATTCCACACAACTTCTTTTAAATGTTTATTCATGTTTTCTTTTATTACAGCAACTTTGTGCCATTCCTGAAACGGCCAACAGTGAGGAAATGCAAGAATTTCTCGCTCTAAACACTGATGCAAGAATTGCCTTTGTGAAGAAACCCTTCATTGTTTCACGCATAGACAAGGTACTTTTCAGAATGCACATTGTATGTTTTGACTGAAACCCTTTACATCAAAAATTGTTATGACTTGGCAGATTGTGGTGAATGCTATAGTGGACACCCTGAAGACGGCCTTCCCTCGCTCAGAACCACAGAGTCCTACTGATGAAATTGACGCAGAGCCTGATGGGAAATTGTCCACTGACAAGAAATCCAAGTATAGAAGGAGAACTGCTTGTTTTTTGGAATGTTTATAGCTGTCAATAATTTCCTGTATGACTAATACATGTTTCATTTCTAGGTCTCGAATGAGGTTCTCTAGTAAAACTGCCCCTGCTCTCAACGTGTCTGACATGAAACCCAAAGTGCTTTACTGCTTTGATGAAAGCAGCTCTGTAAGTAGCAGTCATCAGTAATTGAGTCTTTTTCAATGAACCATAAGAAGGAAGTGAATGAGAAATAGAAAATTGCTTTTGCTAATTTCCACTCTGCAGTAGTTATTGTGACCCTGAAAGTTGTTCTGCTCATCAGCAACACAGGGAATATACATTGATTTGATGTTGTTGTTACAGGTTTTCAATGGCTTCTCGTTGAATGAGCTGGAGAGCTTCATCTCAGAGAAGGAGCATTTTGAGGCTAAAGCATGGTTTGATGCTGATGCAGAGAGAAGTGGAGCACCTAAATGGGATATGAAAACATGCGCATGTGCCAAAGCACAGCTACAGAATGCACCCGCCTTCAGTGACTCTGGTAACGACTCTTGTATAAGAGAAATAATAATAATATTTATTATATTAGTTCTTGAGTTCAACTCAATGACGTAATTATCAGCTCACTCAAGGGGAAGGTTTCTCAGACAAGGACTTTTAATATAGTAGGGGTGTTACGGTACACAAACATGATGGTTCGGTACGTACCTCAGTTTTGACTCAGTTTAAATGAGCTGTGGACACTAGGGCTGTCAATTTTTTTTTTGAATTTTGAATATTCGTCGAATTTAAAATAAAAATCCACATTTGAATGCAAAAACGTTGCATTCGAATTTTAGGTGTGTGTTAAGGAGGCAGCCTTAAGGCCCGTTCACACCAAGCACGATAACTATAAAGATAACGATAAAGATATAGTTCTAAAAATCGTTCTCAATATTAAAGAATAGCAGAGTCCACACCACAACTATAACAATAAAGACAAAGAGAAACGATATCGTTGGAATCACTTTCAAAATGATTTTTCTCCAGCTGATGAACGCAAAAAAATTGACAGCCAATCAGAATCAATCCTGCTGTAACGAGCTAGAGAATTTAAAGCGGCAGACTTGCGTGTGCTTAGAATAAACAGACGATATCGTTCGCTGGTGTGGAGGCTAATATTGTTATCTTTATAGTTATCATCCTTGGTGTGAACAAGCCTTTACAATGGCGAACGAGATGCGATGACGATGTAAGTGTCGTTGCATCATAATGTTTTTGTTAGCCTATCCAGTTAAAGCCACTGGCGCTGCTGCGTTGTTCTTTCAAAATATTGCGGAAAAAGAGAACATCATTGCGGAGAAGATCTTGTTTACATCAAAACTGAAACCAAGCCGTTCACACAGAACACATATTTTGCGCATTTTCTAGAGGGACATCTATCACCGTTGCACTC